CTCTTCTTTTTAGGGTTCTATTGATTTGCTAGTTAATCTGTATTCCACCTTGTTATTTTTCATACCCTATTCCAAATTTCAGCTACCCAAAACATAAATTTCCCCCTTTCAATCGAAATCTGCTTCAATTGTATTGAATTTCCCTTAAAATTGCTTTAAAACCCTTTTCTTTAATACACCCAATTACATTGGATTCAAAAATGCTGTCTACATCGAGCTCATATATGTTTCCTTTACCTTCATATAATGTGTATACTCGTTCTACAATATTTTCTGGTACTATTGTTTCCAATATATCCAATTCTTGGGGTTTTAAGCAGAGGAAAATCATTTGTTCTTGTATGACACCTTCAAGAAATGTGAACGAGGGTTTTTCCCCTTTTAAATTGAGTGTAAGTGCTTTTATTTTGATGCAAGTTATTAATTTTGTAGTTAGCTATCATTATATCAATTGTGTTTTGGATTAATGATTGTATATATGTAATTATGGTTGTGATTTGATGTCTTTTTCTTTTTACATTTGTCTTTCAGTCCTATTTGCAATCTGCATTTACATGGTAGTTGCAAAGGCAATGATGTAGACGGGATTTGATCCGAGGTCTTGGTCACTTTATCGGATAGGCTAGTAATCTAAATTTGCAATTACATTGTGCATCACTTTATTTCTGCTCTTTAGTTACGAGTTCCCTCTCAATCTTTGTTTTTTATACTTCTCTTGTTTTTGCTTGTTAGTTACTTTGATAACTTTGGTTTAGTTGTTTTTGCATTTAAGTATTTATTTACTTCAGTTTCCAGTAAAGAATTTTTTGATTCTTTTTGTGCTCTTTGTAATTTTTTGCTGGGTTGAAAACTTAGTTGTGTATGCTCTTTTCTTGGTATTAGGATTCTTCTGATATGAAGATTATTAACTCAATTGATGAACCCGAGGGTGATTCGGATGTACTTATCGAGTGTAGAGACGTGTACAAGTCATTTGGAGAGAAACACATTCTAAGAGGTGTAAGCTTCAAGGTGCAAATTCTTTTTCTCCATATTTTTTTCTTGTGGGGGAAGAGGTTACTTTTTATTTCTAAAATGTTTCTTGATCATTACAACTGCTTGTAGATCAGACACGGGGAAGCAGTTGGAATAATTGGACCTTCTGGTACTGGAAAATCCACCATATTAAAAATTATTGCTGGACTTCTTGCTCCAGACAAGGTAAACAATCTTACTAGGATCCTTTTGCACTTGCTCTCTAGCCTTATAAATTTAACTCAAAAAATATGCCTGAGTACTGACGTACTTTGATAAACAGGGTGAGGTCTATATTCGAGGGAAAAAGAGAGAAGGATTGATCAGTGATGAGGAGGTCTCAATATCTGGCCTTCGTATTGGCTTGGTAATTGTACATTATAATTAATTACGAAGTATTATTCATTGGAGCAGCTGTGTAATGCATATGGAATATGGATGCTCATTTTTGTACTGCTTGATTGACAGGTCTTTCAAAGCGCTGCATTATTTGACTCTTTAAGCGTGCGCGAAAATGTTGGTTTCCTTTTGTAAGAGGCTCCTCTCCTCCTCATCAGTTATTTCTTTCGAGAATTTTTTATGGGTTTGATACAACTGCTTACCCAATTTTTACATTTATCCACGGTGAATTAGATATGAAAATTCTAGTATGCCGGATGATAAAATTTCTGAGCTGGTAACTGAAACTTTAGCCGCAGTAGGACTGAAGGTATGTATTATCAATACAAATAGTAATCTTCTTTTTCAAGAGTCTTTATGGCCATGACAAGCTTGTTCATGTCACTAATTGCTAGTTGGGTCATTCCATGCAATGTGGTGCTTCTGAGATGTACCGAAAAATATTGCTTATGTGCAGGATGTTGAGGACCGGTTACCTTCTGAGTTATCGGGAGGGATGAAAAAACGAGTTGCCTTGGCTCGTTCTATCATATGTGACGTCACAAAAGAAACTGTAGAACCTGAGGTATGTATAATACCCTATGAGTAAAACTTTCACAGGTCCCAATATAATTGGAAGCATGCCATTTAATAGCATACTGCTATAATGAATTATATAACATTATCAGTAATTTCTATCACTAATTGGTTCATTAATAGTTCTTGGAATTTTTCTGTATTATGGCTGTAAGATCCTATGAATGTACTTGATGTGATATGATGCTTTAGAAATATACTGTCTTTATGTTTTTCTAAACTTCTAACTTTTTTGTAATTCTTTATGACCAACCAAGATGGAACTGCCCAAATACTGAGAATACTGTTGCAATGGGGCCATAGATTCACTATAGTTCTATTAGTCCCTTTGTGGTTTGCAATACAATGGAATTCTCAAGACTGTTTGTCAGAACTGGTTTTATTATTTTTCATATACCCCCCCCCCCTCCTTACAGGCTAATGAACCCAAACTCTTTTCTTCTCTGTTCAGTCTCTTTGATACAACACACCCATCTACACATGGTTTCTCTTCTATCTCAAGTTCAAAATATCAGGAAGGGTTTAGTATAGTCTGCTGTAAGAAGGATTATATTAGCAAAACGGAAGTAGAAAAGATGCGTATGTTGAGATGGAGGTGTGAGAACACCTTAAAGTTGGAATGTAGGACATTGAGAATAAGATAAGGGAGAATTGATTTTGTTGGTTTGGGCATGTAAGATGGACCAAAATATGCGCCGGAAAGGAAAATAGAGATTTGGGACCATGGGAATCTTGAAAGAAGCCATGGGAGATAAAAAAATGAGTTGGATGGAGGAGTTAGGAATGATATGAAGGAATTAGACTTACATGAGCTTATAGCACTTGATAGAGTTGGCGTGGAGGCCTGGAGGGATAGGATCTTTGTTGATGACTACAAGTAATAAATTCTTGGTTTATGTAGCCACCCGGCCCAACCCATCATTGGGATTCAGGTTCTGATATTGTTGTTGCTTGTATAATATAGTCTGCTCTGCTGGGACATGGCTTAGAAGTTGAAATGTTACCCAGCTGTTACCTACAACTGTTGGTTAAGTTTCCTTATAAATTTCTTGAAATTGTTTTAAAACTCACATGCTCTTCTCCCTATTTGTATGTGCTGCTTTATCCATGTTCTATTTACTACTACTTATACCGTTGTACGTGCTCATTTGTCAACACTATCAAATGTCAAGCCTTGGGTTGTGCTGATCCAGTGGCTCCCATCCCTTATTCACTTCATGTTAAGCATCCTTAGTACATGATGTCATATCTGTGTCTTATATACTCCATATTAATAATGTATATGCATGTATGGATTTAGGAGCTTTACATGCTTCTTTTTACGCAAATTTTTTTTACCTGATTTTCAAGCCTTTAGTACATGGTAATAATAAGCTGTATCTGCCTTTATGTGCTAAATTTAAGGATCATGAGCCCGTTTTTTAGATTTATACACAACCTAGATTTTAGCAATAATGCTTCTATGTGATTGGATTTCACATTATGATAAACAGAAGTAGTTTGTTTGTGTTGACCAGCTTTGTTTGCCAAGCATGCAATGTCAATTCTAGTATTATATTATTGTCTTCTATTTCGCCACTTTAAACTCAGTTGTATTAGTGTGAATAGAAAATTGTCATTTCTGGCTAAGTGGTTGCTTTGTTTCTTTTTTGGGCAGGTGCTTTTGTATGATGAACCAACAGCTGGACTTGATCCAATTGCATCAACTGTTGTTGAAGACCTGATCCGTTCTGTTCATATTAAAGGTGAAGATGCTGTTGGATTGGCTGGGAAGGCTGCATCATATATAGTTGTAACTCACCAACATAGTACTATCCAAAGAGCAGTTGATAGGTAAATGTCTTTTTCAATTAAATATGATGCATGTGATTAGAGTTTCAGTTCATCGTATCTCTGATAATCTTTATTGGTCCAGGCTGATTTTCTTATACGAGGGGAAAATTGTTTGGGAAGGACTGACACATGAATTTACTTCCTCAACTAGCCCCATTGTTCAGCAGGTATTTACCATAGCTGTAGTTTGAAGTTTATAGTGTCTTACTCATCAACTGCAGTTGAGACGAGTGAGACTGATAACTACTACAAAGCAAAATATTTGCAATGGCAAGTTCATGTGTCACCTAGGTTGTACATTGCTTAAATAATACATTAATTTTGTTGCTGTTTGTCCAGTTTGCATCAGGGAGTTTGGAAGGACCGATCAAATATTAGCAAAGGCTTTTTGAAAACACAAGTTTGTTACTAGGTATGTCAAAGCATGAAAAAAGGGTATTTTCTGTTAGAGAAGATGCTGGCCATTGTGTGATTGGTCTGTATAAGATGGAGTGCTCTGCAAATGGAACAGTGCAAGGTAACCAGAATTCTTAGAAATGAGAATGGACTGAAGATTGCTTGAAGTCCTGCTCCTATTTTTAAAGATGCTACCTTTACACAGCTTTGATAATCATCACGAAGGATTGGAATCAAAGTTAAGAATAATGTAGTTTCTTGTTCATTTGGGTAGCCACGCTTGCAATCAAGTCATCTGTGCCTGTTCCTGTGATCTGCATATATTACTGGTCATACAATCTCATTCTTTCGTCAATATGAATGTTAATTTTGGGCTATTTAGGGGTGGCCTTGTAGGGAAGCATTAGGCTTGTGTTAGTCTAGGAACTAATTTAGCTTCCTTGAGTTACCTTGGCCCCAAGGGCATGCTTGAACCTGATGTCTTGAATCTCAGCAATTATGCCTCGTAATAATTCAGTAATCTTCAGAATGTATGCAATTTTGCAAAAGCTCAAAGAGTGTAAATTTACAGGTTTATCAGTCATGAGATACAAGTTATATTCCTTTTGTCGCTCGATATGCCACGTTTCTGTTTTAAGTAGTCCTGAACCAAGTTTACTTTCTGTATTTGGTAAGTTAATTTCCAATATTACCTTCAATATACACTTTACTAGAAATTCGGTAACAAAATTTTTATTAAACTTCTTTATAAACCTAATCAATCAAATGTGGCATATACTGCATTGGTGCATATTAACTAGAGGGAATACCATTGTCCATTTGTCTCATCATCCACTATACATGAGACTTTCAAACATGGTAATTCAAGCTAAGTTAAAGTTAGCTTAAAGCTAAAACTGTATCAATAAAAACATGACTTGCTTTCCTCCTTGGAGGACAAATCAAAGTCATATGAAACCAAACAGATATACAAAAGTTTTGTTCTCTGTACAATGCACCTAAATTTTTGACCTAAGAATATAGTTTCTTGATCGGGGCCAACAAAAGAGAGCGATCAAGGTCGCATAGAAGGTTACAGCAGCAGTTACACAAAAAATCCACACTGATATTGGCCCTTCCTCCATATCATCCCTGAACTTGTCTCCAGGAAGTGCAGGAATTCGTGGAGGTTGGCATTTTCCAGCAGATACCTCAATGCATAAAGCTGGATTCCCAGTAAATGCTTCGGGAAATCTCCAGTAACCCTGCTTCCTCGAAACAAATCCGGAGAGAGAGTTGTAGGAAAAATTCAGCGTTATTAGCTCTTGAAGGCTTGAAATATTGGCCAAAAGAGGGCCAGAAAGATAATTGTGAGACAGATCAATAGCCCTTAAATTCCACATCTTCTCTAAATCCACAGGAATCTGACCCACCAGAAGATTGTAGGACAAATTAAGATAATCTAAACCATGTAAAGTGAATAGACTCTCAGGTATCTCCCCATTCAGCTGATTATCTGACAGGTCAATTCCCACAGGTGAAAATAGACCATAAGCAAAACTCAGCTCATTTCGATCCATTACCATAACAGAAATTTGGATGATCTTACTTTTAACTGATACCAAACTCCCCTCAGTATTCATACCACCCGTAGCTGCATTGTTAAAACTCTTGCTGACGTTGAAGGTACCATCAGGTATAAAGCCAGAAAATCTGTTCCCTGAAAGATCGATTGTTTTGATGGACGGGAATGTAAAGAGCCAATTAGGAAGAGTACCTTCAAACTTGTTTTGAGCAAGTGACAAAAACTTGAGATTTAACCATTTGTTCATTGCATCATTTAGAGGTCCAGAGAGACTATTAGAGCTGAAATCCACTACTTCCAATGACCTGCATCCGGCTAAGGTTTGGGGTATTTGACCAGAGATCTTGTTGCTGCTAATATCTAGTATCTTCAAACTATTTAGTGCATCAAGCTCTGGTTGAATTTCACCAGAAAGACCGTTGTTGCTGAGTATCAATGCAAGGAGCTGGAAGCACCCGACAATGTTCAAAGGAATGGATCCTGTTAGAGAGTTGTATGAGAGGTCGATGACTTGGAGATACGTCAAATTCCCAATGCTCCCAGGAATAACCCCATTTATTGAATTGTGAGAGAGAAACAATGCCTGTAAACTTTTCAACTCCGTGATTTTTAGAGGTATGTTACCAGAAAATTGGTTGTGTGACAGGTCAAGAACAAGAAGCCCCGACTTGTCTGTTGTCTCAGCAATTTTGCTAGGAAGAGGACCTGACAACTGATTGTGACTCAAGTCCAAAGCAAGAAGCTTATCTGAGAACACCAGCATTGGCGAAATCCCATACTGCAACCCATTGTTGGACAGATTGAGCTGCCTCAAAGCTCGAAGTGAAGACATACAAGAAGGAATCCTTCCAACCAAAGAATTGTTTGCCAAGTTCAATATGCTAAGTGATTGCACACAGGCATTAAAACAAGGCAATGTACCCGATATACGATTAGAGGCTAGATTGAGGACCTCCAAAGATTGATGAAACCCACCAAGCTTCCCTGACAAACCATTCTCCGAAAGGTCCAAGTACTTGAGAGACTCCAACCGGAACATACTTTCTGGTATCTCCCCTCCAAATGAATTCGACCCCAAATCAAGTCTTTCAAGAAACCTCGAAAAATTACCCACCCACATTGGCAATTTCCCTCCCAAATACCTATTACCATTCAATGTAAGCTCCCTCAAATGCTTCAAGCTCCTCAATGAATCAGGAACCAACCCTCTAAGACCATTATGACTAATATCAACTACCCTTAAACTCAAAACACTTCCCAAACAAGGTGGAATCACAGAAGTAAAATTATTATGAGACAAAACAAGGGATTGAAGAGAAAATAGGTTGCATATACTATGACTGATACTCCCAGACAAGTTCATGGAGCTTAAGTCCATTGAAATGACCCGGCCGGTCCGGTTTTCACAGGTAATGCCGGTCCAATTGGAGCAATTGGACCCGACCCATGAAGCCAAACCCGGGCCCGGGTCAATAATCTTTGATTTGAACTCACTAAGTGTAGCTTTATCTTGTGGGTGAACATTAACAGCTGAAACTACACTAGGGTTTTCCAATATCAACAACATATACAACAAAAATGGCAATAAAATGCTACTAAATTGGAAAAATCTGCAAAATTTTAAACCCTTTTTAGTTTCCATTTACAATGAACAAACTTGGAAGCTTAATGGGTCCCAACAAATTAAACAAAAAACCCCCCGAAAAAAAAAAAAAAAAAAAAAAAACTAACAACCCATTTATTATAATCTTCAAACAAAGGTAAAGATAAGGTCTTTGAGACTAAAACGGAAACTCATGTAAAATTTTTGGTAAAAATGAAGCGGGTTTTTACCAGAAATAGGAAATAAGAAGAGAGAAAGAGAAGACCTGAAGTAGTAGCTGAACTGAGGTTGAAGCTGAAGCAGAGGAATTGAAGAAAATGAAGCTCATGTGACGAGGAAGAGGAACAAACATTCTTCTTTGTTGTCTACTTTATTGAAATTGGCCATTTTCAACAACATAATTACTAAATTAGAGAGTATAATCAAATGGTATAACGGAAAATTAAGCTCAGTTTCCAAGAAAAGGAAAGTGTAAATTAATTAATGAGGGGGGAATTATGAGAAATTCTGGGCATTTATTAGTAGTGATTAATAAAGGGTAAAGGTAATATTTAATGAATAGTGAAATATTCTTTCTTTCGGCAGCTTTGGCAATTGGGAGGGGCCCTTTTGTCTTTGCTTTGTTCTCTGTAAAATGGTTTGAGAGACTCTGAGTTGAGTGAGGTGTGTGGGTTGTGAGCCCCTCATCGGATGTGAAAATAAAAGTGTGTAAAGAGCATCTTTTGCTTTCTTTACCCTCTGCGTGATGTTCACGCATGCTCGGACATAGATACGATAATCTTACGGGTTAGCGATCCTCGCATTATGAAATTATGATTGTATTTGTACTCCTGTTATAAACTTATTATTATGTAATTTTCATAATCAACCAAGCATTTTCTAGGTCCTAGTATTATAATGTTATAGATGATTGCATTATACGAGTAGTATTACTAATATAGAGTAAACTTAATAAATAATCCGAAATAATACAATTGTTAACAAAAAATGTATTGAAGAGTGCCCAATAACACAAAATGAGTAGTAGTGTTCTAACAAGGATCTATGTGAAGTACTTTATTTCTCCTATAGAAAGGTAGAAACCATCTCAAAAAGATTGAAATTTGTAATGAATAAGTAAGAATGAAGGATCAATTGGAAATTGTTTTGTGTTTAGTTTAGTTTATGGAACATTTTAGTGTGTTATTAGACGAGTATTATGAACACTTTTTAGATTTTATAATTCATATGAAGAATATTTTTAAGTGGTTGATCAGGGAGGGTAATACACTCCTTAAGCGTGGCTGACAATTAGCATGAAAGCGCATTGTGCATGAACCAATTAGTTGGGGTAGTTATAGCCTTATAGGAAACATAGAGAGTAATTGATTTCATTTTTTCAATCAATCTGCCTAGGTCACCTCAATAGTTATATGTATCATCAAATTGATTTCATTATAAGTTAATAGGTTATAGACTTATAGGCGCCTTACAAAATGTACATGATAATTATGAAAATATGTATCATAGTTTTGAAGGTCAACTTAGCTATTAATTGAGGTAGTAAATTGCTTAAAATTTGTTTCATAAGTATTGTAATGTCTTTTTTCCAGGTTATTAAGAATTGCATTATGGGAGTAGTGGGGAATCACTAATGTAAGGTGGTGAGACATTTGGCAAATACCTCACTAGTATTAAAATACACAGAGTAGTAAATTAAAAGTACGAGAAAGAGAGAAAAAGGTGGTGTGGGCCGCATATATTTTTGTCAGCTTTACATCTACGTGAAAATAGAGAAAAATAAAAATAGGATCACATTCGTAGAAGCATAAAAAATACAATTGATTTTTTTTAAGTGCCACAGAGAGAGCACTTAATTTCAGTTTGATTACGGTTTCAAAAAAAAAAAAAGTAAATAAAAAAAAAATCAGCTTAATTACAATTTGAAATTAAATTTAAATTTGTATACTTTGCAATTAGTTTATCAAGGTGATAAAATGTTTATCTAGTGGCATTTCTGTCAAAATAAAAAAAAAAAAATCAATAACCTCTTTTTTTTTAATGGAAATAAATCAATAACTTTGCTAAATGTGAGTCCCACAAATGTTGATTATTTACGAAAAAGTAATGCTTACCAGGATATTTTGTTGATTTATTTACAGAAATACCCCTAGATAAATACTTCTTGTCTTTCACGAAGATTAACTAGGGTCCTCTCAATTCCAGAGAAAATACAAGTTGATCTTCATGATAAACAAAAAAAAAAATGTGTATCCAGTGCCATTAATGTAAAAAAAAAAATCAATAACTTTTATTAAATGCGGGTCCCACAAATATTTACGAAACTGTAATGACAACTATAATATTTTATTAATTTATTTAAAATAATGTCACTAAATAAACGCTTCTTGTTTATCACGAAGATTAAGTAGGCCCTTCTTAAGAAAAAAAAAAAAGAAAGATTAACTAGGCCCTCTCTAGGGCCATTTTTGGTTGAAGGAATTTGGAAGGAAAAGAAAAGAAAGGCAAGAGTTTTAATCATGTTCTCATATTTGATTGAATTAATAACACAAGAATTCAAAGGAAAGGAAGGAAAGTGGGAGGAAAGTTCCTTTACAAATTTTTAGCTTTCCTTTCCTCCCAAAATTGAAGGAATTCGACTGGAAATAGAAAAATAAAAGTTATCCTTTATAAAATTTCATTCTCTTCCCTTTATTCCCTTCCATCAATAACTTTATACTAAAGGCGAAACCAGAAATGACACTTGTCATTTTTTGGTTAAAAATTTTCCCGCCTTTGTTTACTATCCTTTTTTTATTTTTTTTTATTTTTTTTTTACCAAATTTTAATGACATCCATTTTATAACCTGCAATAATACTTATATTTCCATTTTGACAATGTATTTAATCCAATTATACTCAATTAATTTTTTTTTTACATATATTCTACTGTATATATTAGGAAACTTTTAGTTACAAAAATACTAACATAGATTAAAAATAAGGTATTTTAATGTATTGTAATATCAATCAATCAATAACTTTATACTAAAGGCGAAACCAGAAATGACACTTGTCATTTTCTGGTTAAAAATTTTCCCGCCTTTGTTTTCTTTCCTTTTTTTTTTGCCAAATTTTAATGACATCCATTTTATAACCTACAATAATACTTATATCCATTTTGACGACGTATTTAATCCAATTATACTCAATTAATTTTCTTACATATATTCTACTGTATATACTAGGAAACATTTAGTTACAAATATACTAATATAGATTAAAAATAAGGTACTGTAATTTACTGTAATATATTACTCCCTCCGTCCCATTATTTCGTGCCTATTTCTCAAAATACGGTAATTAAGGAAAATGATAGAAGTAGGGAAATATTCTACTGGAAAGAGAAAAAGTAGAGAATATTGTATGGGAATAATAAAAAGTAGAGAATACTATATGAAAAAGATAAAAAGTAAGTAATGATTTTTTGGGTATACGTGTATTTTGTATGGGAAAGATAAAAAATAAGTAATAATTATGTGCTATTTTTAGAAACAGGCACAACAATTTGAGAAACCCAAAAAGGAATACATGCACGAAATAATGGGACGGAGGTAGTATTATCCAAGATTATTATAATATTATCAAATTTTTTCTCCAACTTTTATCATTTGACAATACATTTATTTTAATTACATTTTGGTAGCATACTTTGTACAAATCTTAAAATTATATATAACTTTTATATGAACAACCGAACAAAATCATATATATTGGAAAATTCAATATAATTACTATAAACATTTATGTGATTATTAAAAAAAAAGATTCAAAAACCCCTACTACTCACTAAAAATATATTTAAAAAAGTTGATTACGGAATACTAATTATCCAAAAGTAAAATAAATTCAACTAAATTTTCATATAATACCGGTCAAAGTGTGTCAACAAAATATAAGGGCAAATGTATTATGTATATGAGTTTGTATATGGGTACTAACCAAAGCTAATATTTTTATTCATTTATATAAAACCTTATAGCTTCTAATTTCTATTACTATTTTATACAATCCAATTCAATAACCTTTACGTATTTGATATTAGTATAAATTAAAATTCAAGTTATTTTGTTACAAATATTATTTTTAGATAAATTATTGTTGAATTTACACCATTATTTATAATTTATTTGTTGTAAACTGTAATTATAACACGGTAACTTAACCTAATTAACCAAATATTGAAAAATAAAAACACCTTTTTTTTCCTTTCTATTCCCTTTCCTTCCTTTCTCTTCTTTTCCTTAAAAAACATCTAAAACACAGTAAATAGTTACCTCCTTGAGGAATTCGCCACCATTGATGAGCACCAAATCCGTCCACCTCTTTGCTGTTGCAGATGGGCAAAACCAATTTGATTCTGGGTTTAAAGTCACTCAAAAAGGGTAAATTTTCTTTCTTTCTCTCTTACCCAGAAATTTCTATCTTTCAATTTCACTTTCGAAATTTTGATCATTTTAATCCTGCTAATAAAACCCATTTCTTGTATAAAATTTATGCAAATGGGTTTCATTCTAATTCTATTATTAGTAACTCTGAAAGTAGTGTAGCTAGTTTTGAATGCTTCATAAACATATTTGATAAGCTGATTAATGATCGGCCTTTACCTCCCATTGCCACATTTTCTTCAATTTTGAAATCAATTCTTAAAGTTAGACATTATTCTGCTGCAATTCCCCTCTTTAATAAGTTGTATTTGTTGCACGATCAAATTTTGCCTGATTTGCGTGCTCTGAACATGAATATTGAGTGTTATTGCCGCTTAAATCAAGTCGATTTGGGGTTTTCTCTTCTGGGTAAGATCATCAAGCTAGGTTATGAGCCTGACATTGTAACATTCACCAATTTGATTCATGGATTATGTGCAATCAAGAATGGTGTTGATGCTGTTAAGCTTTTTTACAAAGTTATTGATCTGGGTTTACAGCTGGATTTATATAGTTATGGAGCTTTAATTAAGTGTTTGTTTAAAACCGGGCAAAATGCTGATGCATTGAAGTTGCTTAGGATGAGAAGACTAATGGGTTGCAAACCCGATATTGGGATATATCATATGATTATGTATGGCTTTTTTAAGGACAACCTAGTGTCTCAGGCTTCGGAACTATTCTCTGAAATGATCAGTGATGGTGTCTTGCCTACTGTCACCACTTACAACCTGTTAATATGGGGACACGGTAAATTGGGGCAATGGGATGAGGTATGGAGGTTATTGCGAGAAATGATTGATGCCGGAATTTCACCTAATATATACTCGTATAATATTTTAATCGGTAGGCTTAGTAAAGAAGGGAGGATGAAAGAAGTGGAGTGTGTTTTTGATATGATGATCGATTCTTGTCAAGTTCCAAATACTGTCACTTACAACTCGTTGATTGATGGATATTGTAAGAATGGTTTGATTGGTAAAGCAAGGCAGACTTTTGACACTATGCTTGATACGGGTTGTACACCTAATGTTGTAACCTACAGCTCCTTGATCGATGGATATTGTAAGCAAGGTTTGATCGATAAAGCAATGCAGACTTTTGACACTATGCTTGATATGGGTTGTACACCTGATGTTGTAACCTACAACTCCTTGATCGATGGATATTGTAAGGAAGGCTTGATCGATAAAGCAATGCAGACTTTTGACATTATGCTTGATATGGGTTGTACACCTGGTGTTATCACCTACAACTCCTTGATCGATGGATATTATAAGAATGGTTTGATTGATAAAGCAAGACAGACTTTTGACAGTATGCTTGATATGGGTTGTACACCTGATGTTGTGACCTACAGCTCCTTGATTAATGGATATTGTAAGAATGGTTTGATTGGTAAAGCAAGGCAGACTTTTGACACTATGCTTGATACGGGTTGTACACCTAATGTTGTAACCTACAGCTCCTTGATCGATGGATATTGTAAGCAAGGTTTGATCGATAAAGCAATGCAGACTTTTGACACTATGCTTGATATGGGTTGTACACCTGATGTTGTAACCTATAGCTCCTTGATCGATGGATATTGTAAGAAAGGTTTGATGGATGAAGCACTGCAGATTCTGGATACTATGCTTAGTAAGGGTTGTGCACCTGGTGTTGTAACCTACAGCTCCTTGATCGATGGATATTGTAAGAAAGGTTTGATGGATGAAGCACTGCAGATTCTGGATACTATGCTTAATAAGGGTTGTGCACCTGATGTTGTAACCTACAACTCGATCGATGGATATTGTAAGAAAGGTTTGATGGATGAAGCACTGCAGATTCTGGATACTATGCTTAGTAAGGGTTGTGCACCTGATGTTGTAACCTACAACTCCTTGATCGATGGATATTGTAAGAAAGGTTTGATGGATGAAGCACTGCAGATTCTGGATACTATGCTTAGTAAGGGTTGTGCACCTAATGTTGTAACCTACAGCTCCTTGATTGATGGATATTGTAAGAAAGGTTTGATGGATGAAGCACTGCAGATTCTGGATACTATGCTTAGTAAGGGTTGTGCACCTAATGTTGTAACCTACAACTCCTTGATCGATGGATATTGTAAGAAGGGTTTGATCGATAAAGCAATGCAGACTTTTGCCACTATGCTTGATATGGGTTTTACACCTGATGTTGTAACCTATAGCTCCTTGATCGATGGATATTGTAAGAAAGGTTTGATGGATGAAGCACTGCAGATTCTGGACACTATGCTTAGTAAGGGTTGTGCACCTAATGTTGTAACCTACTGCTCCTTGATTAATGGATTTTGTAAGCAAAGAGGGATGGATGATGCCATGCGTCTATTTAAAGAGATGTCTAGTAAATGGCAAACTCCAGATGCAATCACTTACACTTAAAGGATTTTGCAAGGTCAAAGAAGTCAGAATCGCGCTTTCTCTTTTTTGTAAGATGCAAACTAGTGGTGATGTTCCTGATCTTGTCATTTATAATATTTTGTTACATGGTCTTTGCAAAGACCATCAGCCTAAAGATGCTATATAACTCCTCAGGGAGATGATCGATCACATAATAGTGCCTAATACAAGTATTCAAAAATACAACCGCCTCATTAACAGCATTGAACGATGCTCAACTTGATGATCTGATGCTATTTCTCTAGCAAATTGTCACACTTAAACATGTAGCTTAGTTTTATACACAGAATAAATTCAGAAGTTCTGTGTAAGGCTGGACTTGTAGCCGAGGCTGGAGGAGTTAATCTGAAAACTGAATGCAATTGGCTGCTTGCGTAGGTTCATGACTACTAACCATCAGCAAGAAGGTACTGCAATTTAACGGCTAGAAATGGTGGTTGAAAGGGGGTCTGGTGTACTCCTAAGTTCTTCCTTGATAGGTGACTAGTTGACTTGTTCTGGATTATTAACTCCATCCTCAATCCAACAGATTCCTCGAATTCATCTTGGGATAGATATCTAAATCTCTGAATCTGAAGTCTTTCAAGGGTGTGGCAGATGAAGTACCAGTTTAGTATATGTGCCAGAAGTTGCATGGGTATTCAACTATTCTCTGCTTGAAAGAACTTTTTATGTGACTGATTCATCTTTTGTCATCCTCTTTGAACTGAAGCATTATGAGTTTGAGGATAATTATAGATATACTTGACTGCTCCTTTAAACATATTGTGAGAATAACCTATAAGCATTATGAGTTTCAGGATAATCATAGATATATTTGACTGCTCCTTTAAACATATTGTGAGAATAACCTATAAGCATCAGCAATATACTTATATACATGGTCTGTTTATTCTGTATATATCACCCTTAGCCTTCAGCCTTAAATTAAAATCAGTCTACTCATGCTAAAATGGCGTCTTCATCAATTTCCCTCCATAGCTAGTGTTTGGGTCCAATTTAGTCCATTGGGCTTAGGCATTAAATGATCCAATTAAAAGCCCAAGGTCAAGGTTCATCTCTCCAATTGTGCTAAAGTCAAAGATCAACCCTCAAGGCAAACCAATTGGGCTAAGGCCCAACTTCTCCATGTATGAAGAGGTATAAAAGCCATCAATATTACATTCTGATAGATACTCATTCATTCAAGCAAAGCCTCAAGCAACAAATTCTCTTGCATAGTGTTCTCTTTCTACACATTGTACTGACTTTAGCATCGGAGGGGCCTTCCTCGGCAACACCCCCGAGGCTAGTTTACGTGTGTTTACTGTGCAGGAAACCTTCGGCCCAACATTACTTGGACCGAATCTAGTCTTCCCCGTTTCATCGGACCTTCGGCAAGGTCCCATTGTTTTCATCCGAAACAATTTGGCGCCGTCTGTGGGGAGGACTTTCAAAAATCTTTAAGCCAAATTTCTAACCAAGATCATCTTGCAATAATCTTAGTAGCAATGGCTAAGAACCGCAAGAGTAAAGGCCTCCGTCAAGGAGCGGGCGAAAAGCCTAAAACCCCTACACCATCACCCTCGCCGGACCGGAACTCTCCCAAGGGTGCCAGCTCGGGGGGAGGATCATACAAGGAGGATTCCCTTTCTCCCGTAATTCATGACTCTCATCATAGGCCGAGTCACTCTCGGTCTAGCAGGGGTGAGTCCGATCACAGGACACATTCAGTGCCCCAAAGCCAACCATCGACTGTGCGCCCTCATTCCCATACTCGGCCGAGGACCCCTTTGACGGGGCCCAGCTCGGAGGAGGTGGCAAGAGCGCTGGCAGTGCTCATGGAGGCGATGAGGGCACAAAATATGCCACCACCTCGTGATCGAACTCCTCCGCATACCCGGCATCAGCGGAGGAAGCTAGACCATGATGGTGGGAAGCTTCCTTCCTTCCGGGAACTGGAAGAGTGGGAAGAGGATACCTGGAAAAATGAAAAAAAGAGGAAAAAAAACCCTCAATTTTAAAAGGATCCTCATCCTCCCGACCAGAAACGCATAAGAGCAGCAGCTCAGCTTCTCGGCCAGAATCTACTCACCGAGAACCTGAGACTGTTCGCCGAAGCGTCCTCGACCGACTCGGCGGCAAGGAACCGAGCGTGCGCAGTCGCCTCTCGTTCCCTGCGGCCGAGGCCCAGACTTCCCAGCCAGGGACGAAAACCACTCCTACCTCTCTAAGAGGGCGGAGCGCGGTCCCTTCGGCTAGGAACAAGGGCAAGGCCGTTATGCTACCCGCCAGTTCGCCATTCGAGCAATGGATACTGGAAGAGCACGTGCCCACGGTTAAAATACCGTCGCACATCACATATGACGGGACCTCGGATCCGAAGGATCACGTGGCCTCGTATGAGACTCATATGCATCTTTGCCCCAGATCCGAAGCGACTTGGTGCAAATATTTCCCAACCACTCTCAAGGGGGTTGCGCAAGCGTGGATCTCCAAGGGAGTAAAGCAAGGCTCCATAACAGGGTGGGATGATCTGTCCTCCAAATTTAGGAGCAAGTTTTCCACGGCAAACCGCCGAGAGAAGACTACTGCAGAACTCATGAGTCTGCAACAGGGGGAAACCGAAAGCCTCCGAGACTATCTGACCCGTTTCAGTAACGAGTCATCCAGCGTCTCTCAGCTGGACCAGGGGCTAGCCGTTTTTGCAATGCAGAATGGCCTTCAGCCCGGGAAGTTCCTAGACTTCATGGTCATGCATACCCCGCAGACCTTGGAGGAAGCTCTGAATGCCTCGGATAAGTTCATCCGAGCCGAAGAATGGAACAAAGCGAAAACCCAACCTCAATTTGGGGGAGGGAAACAAAGACAAATAACCTTGTCTGAAGGCCAAGGCCATAAGGCAAAGGGAAAGTCAAAGGCCTCGGAGCAATCTTCGGCCAGCGACCCAAAGAAGGAAAAATCTGCCTCATACACAGGCAGATACGAATCCTACACTCCGCTCTCTCTTCCACGCGCCAAAATTTACAGCGTGACGAAGGAGGAGCAGAGTTACCGAAAGCCGAGACCACTCCCAGAGTGGTATCAGCGAAGAAATAAAAATCAGTGGTGCGAGTTCCACGAGTCTCCGGGACACAACACTGAGGAGTGTACCAACTAAAGGACCAGATAGAGGACATGGTCCGGAAGGGATACTTGAAAAAATACATCACGGATCACCGCGAGAAAAAAGAATCCGAGAAGTCAGCAAAGGACTCTCGGCAAGACCTCGACTTCCCCCGGAAGAACAGTAAAAAGCCGGAGGGGAAATTCCCTCCGATCAATGTTATCTCGGGAGGAATATACTCTCGGAGGGAGCACAAGCGACACCTTAGAGCTTTGACTCACCAGGTGAACAACGCTGACATTCAATCTCCCCAGTCGCCGGTGCCGAACATGACGTTCACAGCCGCCGACTGCCGGGGGATAACGTTCCCTCACGAGGATCCGTTGGTGATCATCGCCACGGTGGCCAACCACGACGTCAGTAAGGTCCTTGTTGACGGTGGCAGCGGAGCAAACATTCTGTTCCGAAAGGCCTACAATCAAATTAAGCTGAAGCCCAAGCACCTTACGCCGGTACCCTACCCGGTATCCGGGTTCAACGGGGCTTCAACTTATCCAGATGGGAAGGTGACACTTCCTGTCACCATCGGCTGCGATGAGGCAGCTAGGAATGTCATGATTGATTTTTTGGTCATTGACGTTCCTTCGGTGTACAACGTGATTTTGGGGAGACCCATAATTCATGAGATCCAAGGGGTCGTCTCAACTTATCATCAGCTGATGATTTACGTCTCAGACGCCGGCTTCCCCGAAAGGATACAGGGCAACCAAAAGGACGCCCGAAGGTGCAACTACCTCAAGCCATCCAGTAGTCGCCCAGATGACGACAAGGATGAGGAGGAGAAAGAAAAAGAAAGAGAGCTAAGCACAAAAAAGCCGAAAGGCCTAAGTGCTTCGGCCCAAGGATCTGTACCCAGAGGTAAAGGGCTCGAAAGGGAAAAGGCTAGCTCTTCAGCTGAGCCGCAAGACTCAGAGAGCCAGCCGAAGAACAAAAAGACTGGGACACCTGCTGACATAGGCAGCAGGCCAGATTATGAAGAGTCCAGTCCATCAGCAATGGACATGGACCAACAGACTGAAATAGTTGAGTTGGCCGAAGGAGACGTAGAGAAATGTGTAACAATCGGGATGGACCTTGATCCGAACACCCGTTGTGAACTTATTCAGCTCCTTCGGGACAACAGAGATGTGTTTGCTTTCTCGGCAACTGATATGCCCGGGATAAGTCCAGACCTCATCTCCCATAAGCTTAATGTTGACCCAACGTGTCGACCAATTAAGCAAAAGAAGCGGAATTACTCCGCTAATAAGAACCAAGACATCGCAGCCGAGGTCAAAAAATTGCTGGAGGCAGGCTTCATCGAGCCTTGCCAATATCCAGAATGGCTGGCAAATGTGGTGATGGTTCAAAAGGCAAATGGTACCTGGAGGATGTGCGTTGACTTCACGGACCTAAATAAGGCTTGTCCGAAGGATTTCTATCCCTTGCCGAGGATCGATCAGCTAGTCGATTCGACGAGTGGCCATGCCTTGCTTAGTTTCATGGACGCATTCTCGGGGTATCATCAGATCTTCATGCACCCCGACGGTCGAGCAAAGACAGCATTCGTCACGAACGCTGGGGTGTACAATTACAAAATGATGCCCTTCGGATTGAAAAATGCGGGGGCAACCTATCAAAGGCTGGTGGATCAAGTTTTTGCCGATCAAAAGGGCCGAAACATGGAAGTCTATGTCGACGATTCGATCGTCAAAAGCAAAAAACCTGAGGACCATGTTAAGGACCTGGCTGAAACTTTCGCCACCTTAAGCAAGCATCAAATGAAGCTGAATCCGAAGAAGTGTGTCTTCGGCGTGAAGTCAGGGAAATTCCTTGGGTTCATAGTCAGCAAAAGGGGGATTGATGCCAATCCCTCCAAAGTCAAAGCGGCGCTCGACCTTCCTGAGCCGAAAACAAAGCGGGATGTTCAGCGGCTCACCGGAAGAATGGCAGCCCTCTCGAGGTTCATTTCCAGAGCTTCGGATAAGGGGTTACCTTTCTTCAAAGCCCTGAAACTCCCGAAAAC